CGGCAGATGCCAGATGGTTGTGTTGGTGTTGTTGATGGGTAGGATAAATCGAAGATAGTGGACGCTACCTAGGTAGGTACCCTAGCCAGGATCTGATGAGAGTGGCGTTGATTTGGGTACAAGGTTACAAAGAATTAGCCTAAGCCCCTCGGGGAGCAAGAAAACACCGTACCTTGATTTACTGGTAGCATGTCAAAATAAATTCAGCAAAAAGCATCCTGAGCACTTGTGGCGTTGCCTAACCTATTTTGTCACTTAGGATCGAGGTCCCTAGCCTAGCAAACAGCCGCTGGGGGAAATGTTGATCGCACCGGAACGGGTGTCTGAGGGTCGCCTGATAAGCGCGCGGCAGTTGAATTGACATCCCAGGCACAAAAAAGTTCCAAGCCGCGTCAGCAAGCCACAAAGTGACTCTGGGTGATGAACATGTGATGGATTGCAGTCAGGAAAGGCAACTATCTTCGTTGCAGAATGCATCAGTACTGCAGGCGGGAGCAGAAGGGGAAAATGCAAGACAAAAGCCACTGATCAGAGTTAGGATCAGATCGTCTCCGAGTGACTTTATCCAGATATACGATGTTGCAGTCGGCGGCTGGGCGCTTCCCGTTGTAGATCACATCACCTCACCATGCTCCGCTGTAGCCGTCATTCTTCAGGTGATGAGATTGAATCCAGATGGTCCAAGACAAGCAAGGGGCCGTCTAGATCCGATAGATGTAATTAGCCGGCGGAACATAGATAAACACCACGAGATTAATCATGATCATGTCCACGGGAGGGCCGAAAGAAAACAAGAAAATGGAAAAAGAACAAAACGAGATGCATGCATGGGAGAGGCATGAACATGAACTTTGCGTGCCGTGACTCGAACTGTCTGCTACAGTGGCCGGAATTACTCAATCTGGCTCTGCAGATCTCCAGGATTGGCTAACCAACACCAGATTGCCAGTTTCTCAGTATCTTTGACAAGGGAGAGCGAAAAAAAGATCAAGTCAGTTCCAAGGATACAGGAATGGTAAATCATATGATTTGATATCAGCGGATATTAACCGCCGCCATACGATGTCCGTCCGCGGGCGGAACAACTCAAGGTCATGAACAGGTCAAACACCGAATCGTATCAGTCTTCGGACTTGTATCGCCAGATTGTCCCAGCACGCTTTTCGCTTTAATCATGATTAGGTAGCAAGAACCGTTTGCGGGCCCCTCCTCCAGATCGTGCCATGGGGAGGGGAGCTACCCCTTGTGCCTTTGCTTCATTCGTAGTATTAGCAAGGATTCGGAAAGATTTGGTTGAGACTAGTCCATCTTCCAAGAACTCTTATGGGCTGTTTCTGTCTCCGTGTGATGACCAGCTTGAATATGGCATCCATTGTCATTGGTCAATCATTGTGTGCTTGGAGGCTTGACCGTGGACGACTGAGAAGCTGTTTTGCTGTTTCGGTCGACAGATGGCGGGGCGGCTCCGGCCCCAAACGAGGGTGCTGGTACCTGCCTCGAAAGTACAGCACCACCCTTGGATTCTCCTCACCAAGGGGAGGAAAGAAAGCACAGGGCCTTGATCCTAAATGATAAAAATATTGAGGTAATTTGGTATAAATCTAGCCTAAGCTTGTAATACTTTTTGCTGAGTTAATTTAGACAATCTGTGTCAAGGCCCGATGTTTTCTTGCTCCCCGAGGACCACCTCTCCGCTCAGATGGAATGGAGGTTCATGGTGCACGATACGTAGTCCCTAGGTAGGCGGACACATCCTTCCTCCAGCTGGGCTGAGGTGGTGGTGGGGGGGTTATCCCGGCAATTTTGGCGGGGCGTCGTTTTTTTTTCGGAAACATGGTTGCATGGCATGGCATGGGCTTGCACTTGCCCTCGCTCTGATGGATGCTTCAGGTCAGGATGTCTCGTGAGCTTGAGCCAACGGCTACGGGATTAGGCAAGCCTCACTAAAAAAAGACGTTGCAATCCACGCTTCACCTTCCTTTAGCTTTTCTTCATTTGTTTTTTATGACGCTGAGCTCCTGCTGTTTCTCCCAAGCTTCCATCCTCTTCTCTCTTACTATTCATAATTGGTGACTCCTGCCTATGCTTTGGCTGACCAATTGCAAAACTATCTATCCCCTACTCCGCCATATTCTATCCCGTCTTGACCCAGCCTGTCTCACAACTTGAAAACCTCCATTCAACTTATACAACTATTGTGAAAACGCTCAGGACCCCGGAATATCAAATTCATCCTTCGACTTATTAGAGACACGCTCAATCACTTAAAGACTACCCCTCTATATCGCGTCCCTAAAGCATCATGACCAAGCCACGCTTGATCATTCTAGTTCGCCACGGCCAGTCCGAAGGCAATAGTACGTTAATGCTCTGGCTTTTTCGTCCCTCATTATTCAATACGTGCTGACAATTATCAAGAGAACCGAGAAATTCACCAGACCGTTCCCGATCACCGAGTCAAACTTACGCCAGAAGGCTGGAACCAAGCCCACGACGCCGGACGTCGTCTCCGAAGCCTCCTCCGTCCCGACGATACCTTACAGTTCTTTACCTCTCCATACCGCCGCACACGTGAAACAACAGAAGGAATTCTCGAGAGCCTGACCTCGGACGAAGGCTCCCCGTCGCCCTTCCGCCGAGCTAACATCAAGGTGTACGAAGAGCCTCGGCTACGTGAGCAGGATTTTGGTAACTTCCAACCATGCAGCGCTGAAATGGAACGTATGTGGCAGGAGAGGGCCGATTATGGCCACTTCTTCTACCGTATACCCAATGGAGAGAGTGCTGCTGATGCTTACGATCGTGTGAGCGGATTCAATGAGAGTCTATGGCGGCAATTTGGCGAAGATGATTTCCCCAGTGTCTGTGTACTGGGTACGTATTTCACCAAGCAGCTTTGCGATTTTACTAACAGTACGCTTCTTAGTGACTCACGGACTCATGTCCCGTGTCTTTCTCATGAAATGGTATCATTTCACTGTCGAGTACTTTGAAGATCTCCGAAACATCAACCACTGCGAGTTCCTCATCATGCGCAAGCAGGAAAACAATAAGTACCTTCTAGAGAACAAGTTACGAACTTGGTCCGATCTGCGGCGAGAACGCAAAGACAAAGAGGACAAGGACAGGGACAGCTCGAAACTCCCACGCACCAAAACATTTGTTGTTACACGCCGATGGGGTGGATGTCCCAATGGCTGTGACCATAGTCGACACTATGCTAAGCGTGAGGATTTGGAGATCATGCGCAAAAAGGATCATGAGAACGGCGGGCCAGAGCCTTATGGCAAGATTACAAACCCAGACGAGATCATTACCATCGTCAGCCGGAAGCAGAAGGCTCAATTAGACTGCATTGGTACCAATATTGAGAGCGCCACCCTCGGAGCTCATGATGATGGACCAGAGATCGACATCTCATCAAACCATGAAGGCAAATCTGTTTCTGACCTCAATGACACCCCCTCAGTCATCTCTGCCAGCGAGTATATCCAGTCGCCATACTTGCATATTGGCCGCGATGGGGGCGGCAGCTATTCTGGCCACACATCTGCCGCCGAGACTGACAACGACTCCTCAGAGGATGAGAACATAAGCTTACACCGTATTGCCTCCTTGAACGCACAACTCAACAGGACCGTTGGCGAAAGAAGCGAGAAGCCTTCATACAATCAGAAACCCCTCCTCAAAGCCGGACCCGAACATCTAGCATACACGAGCGATAAGGATAGCCCGGATGAATATGCAAGGACTAACCGTCTTGGTGATGCATCTACCGATGCCTCTTGTGACGGTGACGCTGAACTCGTTGAGGATTTGGATCGCGCTGAGAAGGAGGATCGAAGTATCCGGGGCAGTGTGTACTGATCGTATTCTTACTTGGATGGGCGCATTCTCACTCTCTTATGACTTGAATTTCATGGGAACCGCGGATACCAGCCCGCCAAGGCGAGGCAAATTGTTTTGATGATTTTCATATCTTTATGCTAATGACGAACGATTTGGAACGGATTACGGAAAAGCAACGGATAGAATGACCAACTGTGCTGGCATGGTTTTGAGATTGAGCTATTTGGGGCCTATGATAACGTTTGGGCTAGCATAACATCACAAAATAACATATCTGTTCCTCCATTTTCAGACGTTCTTAACACGCAGAATTGTTCTTGAAATGGTTATAATTTAGATTGATTTCTTTATTTTTGCCTCGTCATGAAAATTGTATAACACCGTGTTGGAAATGCCCCGCCGCCACCTCTTTTCCCGCGGCGTCCGTCTATCTAAGTATAAATGAATATCGAACAAAGTTGGAGAGATTCAACCTATCCTGCTCGTCCATTTTTCATGCATAACCCATATTCTTCGCCAAAAACATTACCAAAAAAAGAACAAAAAAGTATATCCTCATTGTACCCGCCGCTCATGGCTAACGTGCGTTTTACCCATATGGCAAAATGAATCATTCAATCAGGCCATGGTAGGAAGACATGAACAATGCAAACAAAACTCCTTGACGCCATATCCAGTCTTCGAGCCCTCCCAGGATCCCCTCGGGTCATTCGACCCAGGTGAGTGAAAAGTGAAACGAAACAGACAACAGGCCCGTGAAAGATCGCCAGTGCCCATTATAAGCCCTGCGGTAACGTCCAGCAACATGCAGAAGACAATTTGCCTGGCCGAGGCAGGAAAATTGTGGTTGGTATAAAAAAGTCATATAACCCAGAAATAAACTATGCCAATAGAAATAAGGTCATTTGCCAGGTGCCTCGACCTATGTCAGCCCTGTTGAGCTGCGACAAGGCTTAGCTTTGGCAGAAGACCAAGGTGGCCCTACATAGATATGTCTGGTCTGAAATAGAAGCTGCCGTAGTATAATTATGAACGGAGGAGGCAAGTCGTGAACTGTCGTTGAATGTAAAAGGTCCAAAAAGAAGAAGTGGCAGAGGGGTGACTATGCGCCAGCATTGCTTGAGAGGAGGAGAGTAGCAAGAGTGGTGTGATCAGAAGAACTTGGACATAGCTCTGCTGAGGTCGATGAAGTCGACTGGCTTCGTGACGTAGTCACTGAATCCCGCAGCGACACATTTATCCTGAACGTCTGACATGACGTTGGCTGACAAGGCGATGATAGGCATCTGAGGGAAATTGTTGGCAATTTCCCACTGTCGAATCTCACGACACGCCTGGTAGCCGTCTTTTCGTGGCATATGTAGATCACACTGAGAAGTATGTGTCAGTTATTAAAATTCTCATTGGAGACCGGAGAGTACGGTATAGAGCAACATACCAAAATCAACGAGTAGTGCTTATGTGGCTTTGAGAAAACCATGTTGGTGCACTCTGCGCCATCAACGGCAATCTCGACGTCAACCCCAATCTTCTTGAGATACTTCATGAGAACCTTCTGATTGACAGGATTGTCCTCGACTAGGAGCACCTTGTAGCCCTTGTTGCCCATGCGCCGTTCAATCTCCTGGTAGCTAGCCTTCTGATTCTCGACCATTTGTTGCGCCGTAGAGCGATTACGATCTATGCTAAGATCACGCATCTTGTTTGGATCGAATATGACAGCGAATCGAGACGGCTTCACAGGCTTGTAGATAAAAGTCACCATGTTATCTGAGAGGAGCTGCTCATATTTAGTGTTGGCCGCCAACTTGATGACAGCTTGTCGTTGCACCGAATCTGACAGCACGAGAATAGTTGTCTTATCGATTGTCTGTGATTTCGTAATGTCATCCATAAGACCAATGATAGCGTCGGCAGAGGGAAGGTTGATGACGATATGTGTGAACTTGATAGGATCCTCACCACCAATCAATGTCTGTGCCTCATTCACGCTCGCCAAGGCTGTGATCTGATGAGGTACATCCTTTGGTAGAGTCATCTCAATATGTTGAGTGGTGGCCTCGCGACTATGGAACTGCGGGCAGATGATGAGGATTGAGTACATGGGTGGTCGGAAGTCCTCAGGTGAGCCACTGCCAGGCAAGAGATGAGTACCAGGAGAGCTGCGCCCTGAGGGCATCTCCAACTTCATCTGAGACAAATCTTGCCCACTAGCTTTAGCCGCCTCGCTGAATCGGGCCAGACCACCGGTGACAGATGTTGCAGAGGATCGGTCGGTGACTTGCGACTTAGCTGAACGGACAGACGGGTTGGAGCTACCAACAGAAAGGCCTCCAGGTGACGTAAACTCTGATACTGTGCCTCCAGGGCTAGCGCCTTCGGCGTTGCGTAAATGTTTTGGCGGAGGGAGAGGCTTGATAGTGCTGGGAACATTATCAACCATCTCCGGTCTAGGCGTGAAAGCACCAGTAGCAGGAGGGCTGTCAGGCAGGTTAGGGTGATCATCAGCTGTAGGAAGGCCAAACCGCGCTGTGAAGGTAAAGGTAGAGCCTTTGCCCAGCGTTGCGCGTCCCGTCATGCTACCGCCATGTAGCTCAGCAAGCTGTCGAGAAATGACAAGGCCCAGTCCACTCCCACCGTGTTGTCGGGTGCTACTTCCATCGATCTGACTGAAAGGTTTGAAAATCAACTCCGCCTCCTCCTTTGAGAATCCGCGACCTGTATCGGTAACAGAAAACTCCAGCATGATCTCATTCTCATCGACATGGGAACCCTCCGCGACGTAAACACGGCATCGACTGAAGACTTCACCCTCTGAAGTGAATTTGATGGCATTGCCAGTGACATTGAGGAGAACTTGGCGAATCCGCACCTTATCGCCCTTGACCCATGCAGGTACATCGGCCTCCACGAGATAGTTCAACTCGAGTCGTTTCGCAATGGCCATTGTGGAAACAAGCTCGTTCACGTCTTCGATGATGGACCTGGTATGGAACCATTCGTACTTTAGTTTCATCATGCCAGCGTCGACCTTAGATAGATCTAGAATGTCATTGATAATCATGATCAAGCTGTTGGCACTGGTCTGTATGGTGTTGGTGTAGTCGAGCTGCTCTTCATTCAGAGTAGTATCCTGCAAGAAGCTTACCATGCCCGAAATTCCGATTAAAGGAGTACGAATCTCGTGGGACATGTTACTCAGGAATCTTCCCTTGGTTTCCATGGCCTCTTTGAGCTTGGTCTCAAGAAGCTTGTGGTCGTTGATGTCTGTCGCAGATCCAAAGTAGGAGCTAGCACCACTGCCGAAATCAATAGTGTCAATCTCGACACATCGAATCAGATGCCAGCGGTATTCTCCAGTCTTGGACAGTAATCGAACCTCAGTTGTGTATGAGACTCGGCCAGCGCTATCAGTCGCCACTTTGATTATTCCCTTTCGAGCCAGTTCAGTCAAGTCTGCAGCAGGCCATTCGTACGCTGAACTGCTGCTAGAGCTGTTGTTCCGCGACAGGGCTTGCTGCACATTACGGAGAGGCGAGTCTTGAGGTGTATGCGACTTGGGAGGTTGAATAGTGGCAGTTGACGCCGCCTCAGACTGTGCAGATCCCTGCCGGTATATCTTGCTATGGCCCTCACGTCGTATTCCGCCAGGGGTTGAAGGTTGGGTAGAGGGAATTCGGCACTTCGCAAGATCGTCCGGATGTACAAAGTCCATAAAACCCAATCCAAGTGAGTCAGAGAAGCTTTGCCCTGTATACGAGAGCCACTGTTCGTTGGCAAAAGTGATTCCTTCGTCTTCGGTCGCTGTGAAGATGATCTGAGGGATGAGGTTGGCAAGTAATCGGTGTTTAGCCTCCGATGCCTCGATTTCCTCTTGTCGCGCCGCTTTCAGTTCCGCAATGTGCTGATCGTGTATATCCATGTACGATCCAAGAAATTGCATGATAACCCCTCTCTTATCCTTTGATGCAACTGCTCTGGCATAAAACCACCTATATGCGCCGTCGAATCGTTTGATTCGAACAGTCCTCGAAAATTGTTCGCCCGTGCGAATAGAATGGCCCCATGCTTTTAAGTAGTCGTCTCGGTCATCAGGGTGAAGACTACCCCATGGGTCTGCGGCAAGGTCGGTGGCTGTCTGGCCTCGGTACGAAAGATAACGGCTGTTGACCCAGACAATTTCTCCGGTCTGCGGAAGTGCGACGAATACATGCGCGGGTAGGGAATCTAAAATCAGTCCCTTGAGTCTGTCCGAAGGCGGTGGCATATCAACAGCTGTGGTAGTCAATGAGCCACTCCGAGAAGGTGCAGAAACGGGTGTCGGTCTGGCTGAGAGTGTAGAGCTCGGCGGAAGAGATTGGAAAGTGGAAGCAAAATCTGCACCATATGAATGAAGCATGCTGTGCCCTTGTCGAGTGCCACGTCCGGTCTTGGTAGAGTCAGCCAAATCTTCAGCTGTATTGTCATTGTTGGTAGGATCCAGAGTATCCATACTGACATCTGGAGCGTCAACGTGACTCGACTTTTTGGTCAATCCGCCAGTCGATTCGTCAGAAGAAGTACGAATTGCTTTATCGGCAGCCGAGTTTTGCTCCGGACTCTCTTGTGTAAGAAGAGAACCGCTGACTCGGATATTTCGCTTCTCAGCAGGAGAAGTGTCTTTTGAACTTGTTCTTGCCCGTGGGGTACCTATGCCGCCAAATGTTTCGTGTCGCGCGGGTACTGGTCTTTGCCTCGAACTGAAGTATCCCTCTCCTTGAGGTGTTGCAGCAGGACTCGAGGTCGGCGGTGGCCGCTTGTCGGCATGAAAGCCTCCAGATCCCTGGTCCCACCCAGGAGTGCCCAATGGAGATCCAGTAGCACTTTTAGAAACACCAGAGTAATCGCTCGGACTCGTCATACTACCAGCGAGAGACTGGTGTGGAACGACGTCATCCGCAGTTAGATAAGCCATGCTTTCCAATGGCCGCCCATCGTGTGCAACCGCCCCAAATCCAGTCGTCTGCGGCCGTTTCCGTTGAAGCCCTGCCAACTCAGTCTCAAGATTACTGTAGTGCCGGCATAGTGAGAAAGTTGTGGCCATATGAGGTGCCAAATGTTCCAAGGAGTGCTTGAGATTAGATGGGTAAGGGATGATTGGGCTCAGAATTGATAAAATAGCGATCGGTGCTGGCTTATCTCTCTTAAGACTGTCTGGTGTGTTACGGCCACCCTCCTCGCTAGGAGCAGGAATACTCTCGCTTTTGGTGCGCGCGTGAGATCTTTGCTCCATTAAAGTGCTGTCTAGTTTGAAGGTTCGAGCGGGTTTCGAGAGAAGAACGTGAGACAAGGGGATGTGAAGAACCGTCCACGAGTTATCAACACCGATAGCTTCGGGCGGCCGCATTCCAGTGTAATCCTCTGTGCCAGTATCTGGATTGAACGAATCTTCGTCGACCATGGCATCTGTGAAAAAGGGGTTTTCTTTAGGGTCAGCGCGTACAGCTGGTGATGGAGCTGGCGATTGTGACCAAGGCGAAGGTGGCGCTTGTTCAAACTCTTCGTACTTAGGCGTTGGAGGCCTAGGCATATCGTCTTCTAAGCGGCCCTCTAATCGTGAGGCTATTGATTTCGCTCTGTCGGCAGCTGAGTGAGTTTTGCTGCGAGTCGGTACACGAGAAGAACTAGCCGAGTTGAACATTGATGATAATTTCGAGAATGAGTCCGAGCGTGGTTTGGCAAAATTCCTTGGAGCATTCGAGGAAGGTTCTGGGGCGACAGGTTTTGGTTTCTTCGACGGCTCAGGCGGGGCTTCATCAGCGAGATACGGATATGATCTAGTAAGTGCAATGGCTCTTCCGCGTTCAAGTACTCGCATGATACCACTGTGGTCAATCAAAGGATCCGCCTCATAATCAAGAGCCTGTAATACCGGTAGAACACGCCCCTGGCTTTCCTTTTCACCCATGAGCGGCGCCTCCCAGCTTGGAATTTGTTGCTCAATGGCATCATGTTCGTCAAGTGTCGTCTTATTCAGTTTGGCATAATCGAGATAGGACTCTTTTGAGGCAGGACCTGCGGGATAATTACTTTGGCTCCTGGCAAGAAACGCAGGCCGCCGAGCCTGTGCGTTGGGTGGAGTTCGTGTTTTCTCCCTCTTATCCTCATAAGTCGTGAATGAATGGCGACTGAATAAATCTGGCCGGGTGGCAGACTTAGTATTCAGATTATCGTCAGAAATCGGTGGTGTAGCATTAGAACCAGGCCAGGATCTATCGTGGTCGCTTGTGCTCATGACGACGCTACTAGACTGTTTGGCTGCCATATAACCCAAACTTAGATCGTCTTCCTTGTGAAGATTGAAGGTTGCTTTTTGGCCCCAAGGAACATTTTCGATGTCTGTTGTGTCAGCTGGAATAGCAAGTGTTACTCGTTCAGCTTTGTACACATCTCTCATAATTTGAACAACATTCGACCACCAAGCATCTAATCCAGGCTCAGCAGCTAGCATTAAAGAAAGATCGTAGAGGTTAGGATTGGGAAAATCGAGATTTTCAGGCTGTGGTGACATTGCGGACGGGTTGAACGTGAAGTTGGATGCTGGAGTCGAAGTACTTGAAAGGACCTTATCCTGGGCAGTCATGCCCAAGGCGTCAAAAGAACCATAGCTGAAAGATCGTGGAGCACCTGTAGGTGAGAGTGTGGTAAAAGGTCTATGCAGATATGACGGCACGAAACCAGCAGGGGCCATTCGTGGAAATGGATATGACGGTGTTCCTGCGACGGGCCCTGGAGTGGGAGCACCTCGAACAGTAGCATTCGACTCAGTTGAGGTCGTTGTCAGAGCTGAAGTCTGAAGCGGTGAACTGGAAAGGCCTTCTTCGGGGATAGGAGAGACCCGATTCTTTTCATTAGGGCTTGCCATCAAGCCTCGGGCAGACATTTCGCGGCGTTCAAGGTCGCGTGCAAGCTTTTCTCGATATTCGTTAAGTTGCTTCTGCGATGACGCTTGGGTGGGAGAGGGAGCACCACCGAAACCTACACGCCGAGGACTCAATGCATCTGTTCCAGTATGGGCAGCCAATGGCTCGGCAGTGTTATCCGAGCCCTTGATCACAGAAACAGTGCTCTCATCGGTAGGATCTACTATCATGTTGTTGTGGACGCGGGGCTCTTTAGATTGAGCATCAAGGGGCGAGGGTGGAGGGTGGCTCGGGTGGCGATCCGTCGTCATTGCGTCACGCGCGGTTGGTGTCGCAGTCGCATTTATAGTCGAGTTGGAGATCGATTCCGGCATCACACTTCCATTTCTAATAGCGCTCACGGGCAGCTTCTCGGCCAGCGAAAACGACGGCAATATGGGTGTCGGAGAGGCGAGAGTCGTCAAGTCCTGTTGACTCGATGGTGATGGGATCGATAATATGTCGTCGCCAACCGGCGAGGTGGCTCTTTGCATGCCTCACAGGAAAATAAGTCGTCCAAAGACGTACAGCTGAATCCTTCTCGCCGGCAGGAAGAGTAGTGTTGAGGACAATTCGCGATTTAAAGGATATGTCAAACTAAGGTAGTAGTGGAGGAGGGGGTATAGAGGTCGACGCTTTGTTCCCTCTAACCCCGAGCCAACAGTGGCAGCACAGTAGCAGCAGCGATGGTCTCTAAGAAACTTAGCACCGGTTGATCAACGACCGAGTTGTTTATTGACTCGTAGGGAGGTCAGGATAGGATGGCCCAGGATCCGAGTGGGAGGGCCGTAAGAGGATGTTCCAACAACGGGGCAACGAGCGGCCGGAACGCAACGCAGGAGGTTTGAGAGCGGAAAATTGGGGGTTCGACCACACACCGGTCCTGCGCAATGAATTGTAGTGTCTCTCAGACTGTCTTGGTGCGGAGATTCAAAAGGTAGCGGTGGTAGCGGTGGTAGAGAGGTGGACTGAACTGGCTTGGCCTGGTTAGTGAGAGACTGGAGACTCCTCAAACGGGCACTTTGAAGAACCGATTTCAAGGTGGGCAAAGTTGGTTTCTGGCTTGCATTTGACCCAGGTACATCAAAGTAGCGTACAGCGGCACCGTGGCACCAGTGAGCATACAATGGTCGGACATACTACTTGTCTGGTACTTGACTAGTCCACGATGCTGGCGCGCAGAACGGGGGTAAGTAGTGCCAACCCTGCACGCGATGACGTAGAGAAAGCGACCCTCAGGGAAAGAAGCAAATCTGTAGGTAGCCTCTACCTGGTCACCTACGTAGCCGGCTGTAGGTACGTACCGAATGGAAATCGCAGCTCCAGAGTAAGTGCATTAAAAAAGAGGGCTAAAAAGGAACTCTTCTCTTCTCTATTCGCACACAATATTCATGGCCATGAATCGCTTCGCACGAGACCATCTTACCTTGTCAGTTTCCATCCTAATCACAATGCATTTGCATTATACGCACAGACTCGAGCAGTGGTGACGTTCCTAATAACAATCAACAGTACCCGTAAACCGCAGCACATCAATACATATTCAGGGGATTGGCTGGTCGGTGCTCATGATGCTCCTGAGCGCAGATTACAATGAAGGCCAAGGAGACCAATGGCTGCAAAAGTGGGTGCTGGCAGCTTGTGCATCATCATCGTCATCGTCCGCTGCTATCCCTGGTAGCCAGCCAAGCATCAGCCCCAGCCGATGACCACTTACAGCCCTGACAAAGCTTCTAGCGGCAAGGTAACTTCCACTGGTGAGGGAGCTTTACTTCCTGCGACAACCACGTCCATTATTGCCATACATCCAAGGTACTGCCTGCATCCAATGGCTGCCAGGATTGCTGTAAGTACACAACCTTTTTCAAGGCAAACAATACGCCAGCGTTAATCAAGCGCGCTGTAGTGGCTGTTTTGAGCCCAGAATTTAGGTTCTTGAAATGTCTCTTTATTTATATAGAGTAAGAATCCAAACATCCTTCCTAGCAGCACCCTGATTTCTGAAATGATTTTGCTTCATTTGGCGATCAGGGCGCTGCTCATTCATGCGACCAATTTGACAGTCATCCGTCTTGTCAAGTCTTTCATTGTTATTATTCATGCTTCTTCGTGACAGATCGAAGCAGCGCTCGAGCCACCACTGTGACCTGTCAGCGGTCATGGTGGTTGTTCCCCATAGACCCTCTCATTCTCGCTCCAGATCGGCGATCTTCAGTTAAATTGTCTCTGTTAGGCATTTTGACAGGAGCCACAAAGACAGGGACAAGGACTTTCGATCGTGTTCAGAATGAGGCTCTCCATGCTGTTTACTCGTCAACAAAAAGACGAGGCGTCTTAATGAGCAGGCTACTAACAGCCGTCTGTGTCTAATCCTGATCCCTTCTCTGGTACGATGCAAGCCGCCCAGGTATTCCTCAGAACAAACCAGCATGAGTCTCTTTAGGCGAACCAGTTACAATACCAGCCAAACCAATAATTTCCTCCAGCCCTCATGATTCAACGGACTTCTTCTGTCTCCCCTATTCGCCAAACGCTGCCAAGCGAATTAACTTGATCACACTCGACGTCTAGCTGACATCATCATGGACTTCATGTCTTTTTACTGCTTGTCTAATACCCGTTATATTATTATTATCATTCGTGGAAACAACGCGCTTCACCGAACTCCATAATTGAGTTTTCCTGATTTTGCCTTTTTCTCCCGGAAGCTCCCCAGGGAATTTGGCTCGTCCCATGGACACTGCAAATTAGGCTCTCGGGTGGTGCTTTTTGGTCACATACACCCTTCAGCAGTGGGGAGGCCTTTCTGGGGTCAGCCCTCAATTCCAATTTCAATGTTTCCATATTAAGACCCAGCCTAGTTGGCCTAACTGGCCTCCCACGGGGGCCTACGGGCTGGCGGAATGTAGCCAAACAAGCAGAAGAACCAGCCACAGAAGACTTGATTATTATTAACTCCATTATGTACTAGGATGTTGTATTAACATACCGGACTACTGACAATTACTATCAGTTCGTGGTGTATTATACCCAAGAGCCAACGTCCCTAGCAGTCTTTCCAGTGAGAAATATGGTTAATGGGGACAAACCTCCCAAATGCCAATTTTTCCTACAAGGTCAAGAAGAAAGAAAGAAGAAAAAATCCCCAGCTGCAGAGTACCAGTTCCTTTACGGTGTTGAAAGGAAAGAAGCATACCTACCCACTGCGTAACACTTAACGTGAATGACAGACGCCATCCCTCTTCGAAGTCGGGTCGGCTGGCATTTGGACTTTGTGTGCCTCGATCAGGACCTCGCGAAGTAGTGGGCCTATCTGAAATCTGAGATGTGACAATAGTGGCAGTATTCCTCTTCATTACACAAAAGGCTGAACTATTGTTCCACAGGAAGCTCAGCTTCTGTCGTGCTGGTCACAATCGTAGCCAGGTCTACATTTTCCATCTCATTTTATTGGATTTTGCGTCTTGTCTCATTGTCTTGTGCTTCCACCGGCGCCTGAAGCAGCGGCTGGTTTGAGATGAAGGCGTTTTCGCATGACGTCTGTGTTCAAGACTTTGTGTGACGTCAAACAGAGCGCGCCACAAGAGATCAACCAATCTCAAGTTGTGGGGTGAGCCACGCCCATGCTATCTCTGGCGACAACGTGTCTAGCCTCCGATTTATGGATCTGATAGAAGCTCCCAGTAGAACCTCTGGGAATCATTAACACTCCAGACCTGGTGATAGGATGTCAAAATAAACTCTTTAAAGAACCCCCTTGTTACTGTGCTAACTTCTGGGGGGTTTTTTTTTATCGCTTAGGATCGAGCCCTAGCCTGAGTAGATTTTTATCTGCTTCAGAGATCCAGGCAGCTGGGTTCACTTCTTTGCTGTAACTTTGTTATCGTCTCAAACAACAACAAACAACAAGATCAATCAAAAACACAAACAACCATTGCCAGGCAGCCGGTAATTAGTCTCTTATTATATCCACAGAAATCTGGGGTTTTTTTTTTAATATATATATAATTGTTTATTTTTCTGAAGAAGCTGATATTACTTGCAGTAATCCTAGGCTGAGAACCGGACAACCACGATGACAACGTAATCGCTGTGGAACAGAAATTACATTAGATGCTATTATACCACGCATTTTATCAACTGAGCCTGTTTGGTCAACGTTATATTAGATCTTCAATAGATCGCAAGGTCCCCTTAGGCTGCTTATCACTTTTCACTATCTGTGCAAGTTTCCAATCACAAATCAAAGCAATAGGTAGGCAGGTGTGAGTCGGTGAGAATATTTGTCCAAATAGACCTCCCACACCAGAAAATATAATACATTACGGAGTAGGTACACTGCTTTGAAAGGTATTGATAGTTTATCTCCTGTCCCATTAGTCTCATACCCAAGCGGAGATTTTTAGGCAAAGAATGCGGGACTTTATCTCTATCAGCCAGTGTTGACATTCGATGTTGGTCCAATTTGAATCGGGGATTATCCGAGAAGTTCAACTAGTACAATATCTGTCCTGGCCTATCTTGGTAGCTTGGCTACCCTGGATTCACCAACCGGTCGGACACCAACGCCGTGACCGTTTTTTTGTCTGATGGATCCTGGCTCATGTTACTTTGAGCTTGGGGTCTAGTGGGGTATGGGTTATCGAATGACCTGAAGATCTTGTGTCCAAAACATAAAAAACCTGTCATACGTGCATGGATAAGACATGGTTTCTTCATTCGATGTACTCCGTATGTGCCCATGGATTCTGAAGTCTCAGCCTTCAACGTGCCTCGCTTTCATCTTAGCTTTGTATTGGCCTTTTGGCATGATGTCTCCATGAAGCTGACCCAGTTCTGGGTAGTGAGTAGCTGGTTCACTTGGCGTTGTCGATTGAGCCTTGCACTTAACGGTTTGGCTTCGGCTTCGGCTTCAGCGCAGCTGGTATTTATTGCAAATAGTAAGGTAGTAATGCTACGAGAGACAATCAAATAGATATGTACCTTTAATTGTGGGTAGGTAAAGGTAATAATACCAGGGCTAGCTTATCGATTATTTACCGTCATAGTTACGTTGTAAAGGAAATCTAACGATCTAGGTAAGTTAATCGTTTAGGAGGCTCGGCACTTGGGCAGTAAAATTGGATGTCTATTATATTATATTGCATGCTATTTATGGCACCATACCTGGCATATAATGAACTTGGCCGATATATATGCCAAATTTAGGGTCCAGATCTCGGTTCACTAGTACATAGTAAAACGCACTGTAGTATATTTTCCACTGGTATCTGTAGTATTGGGCATTTTGAGGAATGCCCAGACCACAGTCATTAGTCCGAATCGTGAAGATGAGAGCTAGTCAGATTTTAAGTAGAGTATACAGACATAATAAGGGTCAGACAGGGCCTAAGAGTCTCCCGATAATGATGTGCATTCTTAAAACTACTTGTTTCTTATTTGATAAGTCTCCTAGCTAGCAATTGTATGTATATCTTGGGACTCTCTAATGTCT